GCTTAATGATCTCATGATTCACATAACAACTGCAGTGATTCACTTAAGCATTGCAAAAAGATAATAAAATCAGGTATGACTCATTTAACAAATGCCTTGCTTAACAATGGACATTCTGGTTTCAGTTGTGATTGTAAGTTGAGGACTACCTGAATATATTTAGCTTGACAAGAGCCCACTTACCATTCTTGAAAGATCCCTATGCTTGATGCAGTCTTTCTTCTACCCACACAGCTAATATAAGCTGAGACCAGGATGTTTGGAACAATGGTTTAAATGATTTTTTTTCTATATTCTCCTGACAACATCTTGCTCTCTGCCTCATGTGGACCACTTCTGCAGCACACATGCAATGCTGAATGCTGAGTTCACTCATGCTGCACACCCATTGCTGCTCTCCATTTCCACTCTGGTTTCTATTGTTAGACTGACAGAATGCTAAGAAAACATCATTGTTACAATTTACTGCTATTGCTAGAAGAAACTTCTGATAGCATTAGAGAGAAACTTTCAGGTGTTTGTGTGCATGTAGAGTGAAGGAATATTGAATTATGATTACTTGTTGCCACCTCATATCTTTTCAGGATTCTGCCAAATATACTGCTCACAAAAATAAAGGGAACGCGAACTCCTTCAGTTCCATGTTAAAATGTTCCCTTTATTTTTGTGAGCAGTATACATTCCCAGGCAGATTTAACAAATTATTTTCCCAGTGAGTTTTCCATTCACTCTTACTACTTTTTCCTTTGAGAAGTGGGGGATAATCATGGCATTCTTCCAGTCATCAGGCATAAGCTTGTGAAAGCCATAAAAATTCAGCAAGCTATCCGTAGGGCCTCATTTCTAAATATGAAGTTCTGGAATCCATCAACATTCTTTCTCTCTCTCTCTCATCTACAAAATGCCTCTTTCTCCCTCCTCCCCCACACACATACACAAATTTAGTCATAAGAGTTCAAAAGGTATTCCCTGGGATTGCTGTTGCTGAGTAACCAGCAAAATAATTTAAAGAAACAAAACATTTTTTCCTGGCTCAGCTACCCAAAATCTCAAATAACACTACTTGTATTTTGTGATTTGAGGTGCTTGAGCACTACAGAACTTGGAAGGGACAGCTTTCCTATTGGTGGAAATTCACACCAGAATTTGCATTCCAGCTGATGGGCCTTTGCCCTCTTGTCACTAAGCAACTAAGATGTGATAACAATTTGATTCCACCACAATAGTATTTCTAACAGAACAGAATAACAGAGTTAGAAGGGACCTTAAGGTCTTCTAATCCAACCCCCTGTTCAAGCTGGAGACTCTGCTCAAGCAGGAGAGAAAATTTCTGATTGAAATACCCTATACCATTGCAAACAATGGCTGTCCAATCTCTTCTTAAAAACCTCCAGTAACGAAGCACCCACAATTTCTGAAGGCAAGTCATTCCATTGATTGTCTTAACTGTCGGGAAATTTCTCTTTAGTTCTAGGTTAACTCCCTCCTTGTTTCCATCCTTTGCTTCTTGTGCATGTCCATGTACAAGATGCTTTGGAAAATAGGTTAACTCCCTCTTCTTTGTGGCTGCCCCTCAAATATTGGAAAACTGCTATCATGGTCCGTCTTTTCACTGGAGTAGACATACCCAATTCCTGCAACCGTTTTTCATGTTTTAGCCTCCAGTTCCCTAGTCATGTTTGTTGCTCTTCTTGAGACTCTTTCTACAGTCTCAACATCTATTTTATATTATGGTAACCAAAACTGGATGCAATATTCCAAATATAGTCTTACCAAGGCATTATAAAGTGATACTAACATTTCATGTGATCTAGATTCTATCCCTCTGTTAATGTAGCTTAGGACCAATTGAGTTTTGGGCAGCTGCAGCACTCTGTTAGCTCATTAAGAGGACTCCAAGATCACTCTCATAGTTGCTACTATTGACCCAGGTGCCACCTATTCTATACCTGTGCACTTGGTTTTTCTTGCCTAAATGTAGAACCTTCCTTTTCTCATCAATGAATTTCATTCTGTTAGATAGGACCCAGTGTTCAAGTCTATCAAGATCTTTCTGTATTTTGAGTTTATCTTCTGGAGTGTTAGCTATTTCTGCCACTTTGGTATCATCTACAAATTTGATGAGTTCCCTTCTATCCCCTCATCTAAATACTTTATGAAGATATATTGAAGAGTATTGAGCCAAAGCAGAACCTTGGGGTACCTCACTGCATACTTTTTTCCATGCAGGTGCAGTTCTATTAAGGATAACACCCCAAGTGTGGTTTGTCAACCAGTTATGAATCCATCTGGTGATGATGCTATCTAACACACATTTTTCTATCTTATCAAATAATAGGTTGTGGCCTATTTTGTCAAATGCTTTACTGAAGTCCACATAAATTATGTGCACAGCATTTCATAGCTTTCTGATAAAACACTAAGTAATAGTGCTGCAACATGAAAATCCTTTATTTCTTCTCCTATACCTCTCAAGCTTTTAACCATTTCCAAGGTTTTCCTTATGTAATTCTGCATCTCCTGGCTTTTCATTAGCTTGGCTTGATATAGCTTTCTATTCAGTTTATTGTTGAGATTAGTTCTTTCATGCACCTTTTGTAAGCCTTTCCACATTTCTTTAGCAGTTTCACATTTACATATATGTATAATTTGATCATCTTCTATGGTAAGAGAGATTGTGCTCTGAGCTTTCTGAGCTTTCTCTATCCATTCATCTGAAGGGAGAGTAGCTTCATTTATACATTTTCATGTACCTTCTCTTATTAGCAGTATTTTCATCTAGAATTTCTAAAGACTGGTAATTCTGGTTTGTCAGATTTGCAAATGAAAACTTTGTTACAGCTGTGTTATTGGCCATTTTCTTTTATTCCGTTGCAGTTTTCTTTCTGTTGTTGTATCTTGTACTTATTTACTGTAGCCAGCTATGACTGAGCCCATAACCTGTTAGAAATTCTGTAAAAAGGCATATAGGACAAACAGTGCACAGTCCACATGCCTTTGCTGCTTAACTGCAAAAGTAAATAGGAAACTTTACTCAGAATAAAAAGTATATACCATAGATGCAAACCAATAAACACCGGTGTAGTTGTACAGAATTCATGAAAACTGTATTCCAACACTGCTTATTATTTCATGTGATGATTGTGGGCATAGAAATGATTGAAATATGTTATCAGGTCACTAATTTGCAATACCTGAGCAGGAGCAAGTGTTCTTAGATAGCAAAAAAAAACCTGACGGCAACTACAGCTTTTGAACTTAATAGCCACCAGGAGACAAAATAATAAAAATTATTTATTTCAGTTAATTTTAAAAGGTAGTTTGTACTGTAATCCTTGATTTACAGCCACAGTTGAACCCAAACTTTTAATTGCTAAGCAAGACAGTTATTGAGTTTTGCCCCATTTTATGGTCTTTCTTCTGAAACTCAAATACTTTAGCTACCAAATGAGAAGAGCGGACTCATTGGAAAAGATACTAATGTTGTGAAAAATTGGGGACAAAAGAAGAAGAGGATGGCAGAAGATGAGATTATTAGATAGTATCATCGATGCAATGAACATGAACTTGGGCAGTGGAGATAGTGGAGGACAGGGGAATCTAGCATGTTATGGTTGAAGGGATTGTGAGGAGTTAAACATGACTTAACGACTGAACAACATGACCTTTCTTCCCACATTTGTTAAGTGAAACACTACAGTTATCAGGTGAGTAACATGGTTGTGAAGTGAATGTGGCTTCACCATTGACTTTGCTTGTCAGAAGTGATCACTTGACTCTGAGATACCGTAGCTGCCATAAATGCATGCCAGTTGCCAAATACCCGAATTTTGATCATGTGGCCATGGGGATTCTGCAACACTCAAAAGTGTGAAAAATGATCAAAAATAACTTTTTTCAGTGCTGATGTCAGAACCCATATTTATCTGATTTCATACTTCCCTTGCTCTCTTTCTCTCTCCCAAATTCCATTATCTTCTCTCCCTGGGTTCTGCCATACTCCTAGCGGGGAGGAGGGAAGGACCGTGGGTTTATTGTCTTAGCTTCCTCTATTGCTACAATGTAACACTTTGCTTTCCTGCATTCTTTCTCTATTGCTACAATGTAACACTTTGCTTTCCTGCACTGTTTCTCTCTGTACTTTCTTCTCCCTAAACTGTCAGCTAGCAAAGGGGAGAAAGAAAGAAATACAACCTCCGGAAACTGGCTTATCTCTCCGGATGTTATCTCCCCTTTCCCACGATGAACTTAAAACCTGGGGATTGGCCAGTTTGAACTATGGGGTGGGGTTTGCTTGGGGACACTTTAATCTATCAACCTGTACGGGAGCCCCTCAGATCCTGTCTAGTATGCCTGCCATCAGCTTCTCCTAATAAAAGTTCCTTTTGGAAGAGCTTGCTTCCATGAATTCTGCTTTCTTGGGATGAGGTATTGAAGTGGGTCCTGACAGCTATTGTAACTTTAGTCTCTAAATGAATGGTTGTAAGATGAGGATTATCTGTAGTTGCCTTCAGGCTTTCAAATAATGGGCTAATACCAACTGACCTTTAGAGAACTTCCATTTGAGTTGTACTCAGTAAGATCCAGGATCAAATTTAGATACCCCAAACCCAATCCCTACATGGTCCATCTAATATCAAAAGAAGTGATGTACAGACAAAATACAGCTATGTTCCGTTGGATTTTTGCCAGGAAATGGGGGCAGAATAATAATTATAAAGCAACTCTGCAAAGACTTAACACCTTTGTCATGCTGGCTACCTGGATTGTTTTGGATAGCTTACTTGTCCCTCTTATATAAGTTGCTCTAAGTGTGTTTGTCCCAAGCTGTTTGGGGAAGCACCTTTGACCAGGAGGTGTTTTTTTGACCAAAGTAATTTTGAGTTCAAAGCTCAAGCTGCCACACATGGGAGGGGATAAAAGACAGCAGGCCTCTGTGAAAGGGTGTATTGCAGCTGCAATATAGACCAAAGATAGCTTTTTGCTCAACCGGAGATAGAATGGAAGCCAGCATGGATTTTCTATATCACACAGGAATCCAAGCCACACACTTTCTGCAAACAAAATACCCAGGATCGCAGGACTGGTTCCTCTTTGTTTCTTTTGCTGCTGACCTCCGAAACACTTTCTTTGTCCTGTTCCCTATTTGGTTCCATCTCTACGAAGCAGTGGGAATCAAGCTCATCTGGGTGGCTGTGATTGGTGACTGGCTAAACCTCGTATTTAAGTGGTAAGTAGTCTGTCAACTTCAGTTTACCACGTGGATTTAAGAGTTTCATTGTTAGGCTGAGCCGCTGAACATGGAGGTTGAGCTCACATATGCTAAGCCATGACTGTCTTAGTGTATTGCGTGAATACTGCCAATTGTGGTTTGTAAATTATAGTTTATACCTTAGTCAGTTGCACAAATTCAGCAAATTGTGAATTAATCAACCAACCATGGCTAAATAATGACTTAGACAGCAACATCTTCCACCTTATAAAACTTGGATTCTGCAACTATCTTATTAAGAGATTAACCACTGCAGAAATGACAAGCTCATCCCACTCTTACCAGAGTCCATCTTTTACTATGTGAACCTGCTTGTTTAGAGTGTCTGGATAGATTTAAGATTTCAGGGTTTTTTTCTTCCACTTTCTCCCTTTTTCCTCCTCTTCTAGAAAATTAGCTAAAGCCAAGGAAGCTATTTTTCATGGCATGGGAAAAGGTCCTCATTACTAAAGTTGTGTAGCCTTCAAAGCTAAGATAAAGACATTTGTCCAGTGGATAAGCCAGAGCCATGTTTATTACTTTCTTGCATAGGATCCCTAAATCCCATGATTCCTAGATCAGTATCTCTTTGTAAATACTCTGGATCTCAATGTTCAGAAAAAATCGGTGAGCATGTGACTTCACTATGGCTTGTGATGCAAATGGAATCCCTTTTCTTTTAATTGACTCATAGCACCTCAGACAATCTCTTTCTCTGCAGGATCCTTTTTGGACAAAGACCCTACTGGTGGGTACATGAGACCAATTTCTATCAAAATACTTCTGTCCCTGAAATCCAGCAGTTCCCAGTTACCTGTGAAACCGGCCCAGGTGAGTTTCCCAAGAAAACCCCACTAAAGTAATAGAAGTGGGACAATATGAGAAAAGGATGGATAGAAAAATCACTTCCCACTTGGCAAAATGTGATTAAAGAAGCAGAGTGCAGTTTTTACCAGCTGTCAGGTAAACAAAATCCAGTCATCAGGAAGATGAATTTATCTAAGCAGTGTCAGAGATGTAAAGCAGTTCCTTCCATCTGAAAGCATATGTATCTCCCTTCACTGAAACATGGTTTATTTGACATGGTAACCATGCAAAATTTGCATGTCCTCCCTTGTTTAGAGCTCACCTTTCAGGCTCCTAATTCCAATACAACACCAACAAATGCATTAAAATATCTGTTTACTAGATTTGTGCTGCACCCTTCCTCCAGGAACTCAAGGTTCATGGAGATCTAGGCCACAAAAACAACCCTGTGAGGTAGGTTTAGCTGAGATAGAAGATCTGATCCAATTCACCCAATGAACTTCCTTTGCTTGATCTGGATCTCTTTAATGCCAGCCTAATCCTAAACCACTCAAAGCTGCTACAGGTGCTCATTTCGTAAAGCCTATACATGATGGGCGATTTTGGAAAGTCAAAGGTTTTTTCTTCCAACTTTAGGGAGTCCTTCTGGCCATGCAATGGGTTCAGCTGGTGTGTATTATGTGATAGTTACAGCCATTCTCTCTATCACCCGTGGAAGAAAATGTCCATCATGGAAACATCGGTAAGCACAGCATTTGGTGAAATAATAAAAGATGTGCTAGCCTAAACTAAACATAAAGAAATTCATTTAGCTTGCACCTAATAATTTTATTTTCAAACCAAATTAATTGAATTTAATGAATTGAATTCATACTTCTGTAAATAAGCAATCAAATATATATCTACACACACACACCACCCATCCCCCACCCACCCACCAACATACAGACAAGCAAGGGGAAGTTTATTTAAGACTAATATATTCATACCAAAATGTACTGCTAGGAAAATCTGTTTATAAGAGCTATGCAAAATTGCAGATAAAATACTTGTTGCACTCACATACACATATTTTAGTGCAAACTTTGAAAAAAACTGACATTTGACAACTAATATAATAGTATCCTGAAAATGAAAGCAGAATAATGCATGTGACAAATCTGCAAAAATGAAAAAACCTAAACAAAACTGAGATGCACTGAAATAAAGCAGATCTATTTTTCATTAGTTTGAATATAAAGGACAGTATAATAGTTCTTGACTTACAACCACTGTAGGGATTTCTGTTGTTAAGCAAGGGAGTCATTAAGTGAATCACATCTGATTTTATGACCATTTTGCCACAGTGGTTAAATCACTGCAGCTATTAAGTGAATCACATGTCATTAAGTGCATCCAGCTTCCCCCCTGACTTTGCTTGTTGGAAGTCAGCTAGGATGATTACAAATGGCAACCCCATGACCCCAGGGGCATAGCAACCATTATAAATACATGCCAAGTATTCAAATTTAATCACATGATCATGGAGATGCTACAAACATTGTAAGTGTGAGGATTGGTTGTAAGTTGCTTTTTTAATGCCATTGTAACTTCAAATGGTCACTAAATGAATGATTGTAAGTCAAAGACCCCCTGCAATATGAATTGTCTTGGGATTCAAAAAAGAATGCATACTATCCTTACAAAGCCTTGTGTCCAAAATATTTCAGCGGAGAAATAACTGTGCTTAGTTCAGGTCAAGAAGGATAGGTAGGAAGGGAGCATTTGGCCATCTAGTCTCTAAAATAACTTGCAGGTTGGAAATATGTTTCTTTTTTATTCCCTCCTATTTTTTTCCAATGGCAGCTTTTTGCAAGCCGTGCTTTGGGCTGCTTTTTGGACCATCCAAGTCTGTGTCTGTCTCTCTCGTGTCTTCCTGGCAGCTCATTTTCCACACCAAGTTATTGCTGGTGTCTTCTCAGGTCAGTGCAGCTTTTATACAGGTTTTGCCATGGTATGCTGAGATATTATATAGGTTGCAGCCTTTAGATTACATCACTATATTTTACCAGTTTTTATTAGGCAATTCCCTGTGACCAAAATTAGATAACATATATGTAAACATATAAAGCATATAATTTGGACAGGAGAACTCCTTCTCCTTTAGCTAGCAGCAGATTTAAGCTATTTTGCCAAGTGAACTGCAAGACATGTTGCCTCATGTTTCGGAGAGTTTTAAAGTCCTGTAGCATTCTAAACAGTGTCATTTCCTCTTCACTGTTAGGTATATTGGTGGCTGAATCTTTCCAATACATCACTTCTATCTATGATCCCAGCCTGCGGAAATATATAGCTACCACCCTTTTCCTCTTCTCTTTTGCTCTGGGTTTCTACCTGCTGCTCAAAGTATTTGGTGTGGACCTCCTATGGACTTTGGAGAAGGCCAAGACATGGTGTGAGCATCCAGAATGGGTACATCTGGACACTACCCCCTTTGCTGGCCTCTTGCGCAACATGGGAATCCTCTTTGGACTGGGACTTGCCCTTAATTCCCCAATGTACATGGAGAGCTGCAAAAGTAAACGAGGACAGCAGTTAAACTTTCGACTGGGCAGCATCGGTATCTCACTTCTTATCCTGCATCTGTTTGATTTCTTCAAGCCTCCAGCCAAGGTGGAGCTTCTCTTCTACCTGTTTTCTTTTTGCAAAAGTGCTGCTGTGCCCTTGGCAGTGGCTGCCCTAATCCCCTATTGTGTCACACAATTGCTCAGGCCACAGGACAAGAAAACACTGTAGTTTGAGGACCAGCAATATATATATACAGTATATATAAGTGAGTTTCTATGATGCAGAATAATAGGGGCCAAAACAAGTATTCGTGGGGAGCCTATTACCTCGGTATTCTGGGCTGGTTATGCTCCATCAGCCCACATTTAATGATGGTCCCTGCTGCCTTCAGAGTAAGGCTTACTTATTTGCCCCCAATATATCAACCAGGATCCTATTATTACTGTCCATCTAACACTGCAAGTAGAGGCTGATTCTGCTTGTGCAAAGCATTTCTCTATGGAGGCAAAAAAGCATTTATGGTTGTCACTAAGATCAGTCCTGCTAGCAAACCTGATAACATTCTTTGAGGACCTCCTGGGACATGTTTTGGAATAGAGATTGACAATGATAAAAGACTATCACTTCACCCAGTTGCCAGTATTGCTCACGTTTCTGGAGAACATCACTCCGTGGTAATTGGGTATTGGAGTGTGAAGTCAAATAATCAGCCTTTAACTGTTGCAATAGTTTGCTATCGTTAAAGAATGTATGGTACATTTTCTAATGCCAAAGAAATAGGGTTGATGAATTCAGCCCTCCTATACTGCACCAAACTTCTCCAGCTTAGTGACTTTGGTATATATTGGATTGGGGCTGCCATTACCCATCAGCTGGTTTATTAGGGCCCCAGGTTAGGGAAGGTTTTAGATAGGTTTTAGATATAGATAGGTTTTGGTTTTGATAAATGTCTGCATGAAATATTTCTAAAGATATTATCTAGAGCATTTTGTTATTAATAAAGTATGGCATCTGTTTTGTTAGCAAATTTATGTTGACTTATATTGGAGAAATGTGATAAATTAAAATATCAACTATACTTAATTAGTTTTACAGTTCAGTATTACATTCCTCCAGCCTTCCCTTTTTTTAAGGGGCGGTGAAATGTAGGTTTCACAATTCCCACAGTACCAGAGCTCTAAGTTTGGCGATGAACTTTTATCAGTAGTTATTCTATAACTGTGCACAGTCTTTTCTTGTTAATTTGAAGAATGGATGACTATCCTGTGTCAAAAGTTATCATTTGAAATTTTGATACGAATGGAATGAACCAATTCAACCACTCCACTAACAGAGTGAATGGAGTTTTGTTTATGGAGCTTTTAGGTATTATACAATATAGAAAACTGTCATTTCTGGTCAGGAAACATCCTCCCTAAAATGCTTCTTTTTACCAAGGCTGGGCACAGATCATTTAAATTTGGCTTATGGTTATATTTATTATTTTACATATTTCTGAACTGAGCTCTGATCCATGAGTTCACAAATCATGGTGGAAATGGTGGTTTCATTTGCTTTAGTTTTGGGGAATGTGTGAGATAATATCATGATATTATTGGAGAATACAGGGCAAATCTGGTTTGGGATGGGTTTTAAAAGGAAAAATTGATAATTCGTGAGTTTCAGGTATTTTTATTTTGCCGCATTATATTTCTGCAAAAGAGAAAAATGATCCCAATTTGGAAAGGGGTTGTGGAGGTTCAGAGTAGCAAAAATATTTGAAAACTGAAGTCTAGTTTATGGCTTTGTAATGGGCTTGAATCAGACCTCTCATAAGTTGTTAACAATTAACTGCTAAATTCCTGTATTTAGCAAAAACAGCCAAAGGAAAAACCAAGCAAAAGGTCAGCTGATGGAACACACTGAAAGATTAACTCATAAGGCAAAAACTGAGAGGTAACTTGGAGGCCAGCTCGATAAATTTTTATGTATTACATAAACAGGAACTGCAAAGATAAGAATATTTTAGAGAAAAGTGCATGATTTACATTTTTTTAAAGTCTCAAGTTTAATTCCAGGTTCTTTCCATTACAGCATGGGTGTCAAACCTGCGACTTTTTTCGTATTGCCGGAGCTGGGGTGGGCACGGCCTCTGCATGATGCAACTGGCCCACTGTCCGGCAGTTTGACACCCCTGCATTACAGCATTCAACTATCAAGAAGAGTAGGGGGGAAAAAATCTGTTTTGGGAGGAGCTCTCAGCCCAAAATTTCAAGGATGAAGGATCACGCTGTATGAATATATACCTTCATCTAATAAAATTCATAGCAGGGCAACTTAATTAGGTGAAATGTGATTTCCAATGCAACTACTTGCTATAAGAGGGAAATCAAGAGACTGAAATAGGGTGAGTAGCCACATATACCTCACCAGGGCCTAGAAATGTAAGACAAACTGAGTGAAAATTTCTTTGGCTCAGAATTTGTGAGGATGGTCAGAAGTAAAATTCACGTGAATATCCTAGTAGCAGGGTTGCTGGCAACAGCATAACAAAACAAAGTCTGGAGTGCTTACCAATGATTCAAAGAGGCCACTCTTTCTCTTATTAAATGTTTTGTCATCAAATTTGGCAATGGTGGTATCAAAGCTCCTCTTGGTGATAGCCAAGCATAATATTAGTGCCATACAGTCATCATCACACAGAATCATTTGATTGAGATTGGATGGATGGATGGATGGTAAAATAAATTCTTTTAATGTCCTCCTAAAAGGAGTACTAATATTTACTACTAAAGTCAACATTCCTTCTGAAATCCATTTCTGGCAAATTCTGAGATATATTTTTTCTTCTTCTTCCATGTGCCTTTTCCACTTCTCTTTTCTTCCCATCACAATAGACATACAAGTCTTTTGCAGACAGGAATACAGGGACTTGTGCTGTCATTGATACTTATCATCAGATAACATTTACCCAGGACTACTGAAAGTTATTTTGACTTCTGTTAAGTCAAAATGCAGTCCAAAGTGTGCGTTAAGGGGGAGGCCACCCTTAAGGTACAGTATAAGAATTTTGAAGGCCCCTTAGATGTGCTGGTTGTGGGGGGTGAGCGCACGAGTCTAATTGGACTTGATTGGTTTGAGGCCTTAGGAATCCAGGTAACAGGGCTGCACAAGTTGCAAACAGAGACCCTTGCTGATGTCTGCAAGGAGTTTGCAGATGTGTTCAGTTCTGAACTAGGATCCTACAAGGGACCTCCAGTTTCACTAAAGCTAGACTCAGCTGTACAGCCCATAAGGGTTAAACCTAGGAGAGTACCATTTGCTCTTAAGGGCAAGATTGATGCTGAACTGGACAAGTTGCTCCAGCAAGGCATATTAGAGCCTGTAGGTTCCAGCCCATGGGAAACTCCCATTGTAATGCCTTTAAAGGCAAATGGGGACATTCATATTTGTGCAGACTACAAGTGCACACTAAACAAGGCCTTACAGCAACATGCGTATCCTGTGCCTGTAGTGAGCCACATTTTGGCTTCTCTCAAAGAGGGCAAGATTTTTGCTAAGCTTGACCTGGCTCAAGCGTATCAACAGTTGCCTGTTGATGATGCAGCAGCAGAGGCTCAAACTATTGTTACCCATAGAGGGGCTTTCAAGGTGAAAAGGTTGCAGTTTGGGGTGAATGTAGCCCCTGGCATTTTCCAAAGTGTAATGGAAAACACCCTGAGGGGTATTCCTGGTGTGTGTCCTTATTTTGATGATGTTCTCATCGCAGGGGACTCAGCTCAAGCACTGGCAGAGAGGTTAAGGGCTGTTTTGCTTTGTTTCCGAAGAGCAGGCCTTAAGTTAAAACAGGACAAAAGTAAGATTGGTGTACATTCCACTGATTTCCTGGGGTTCAGGATAGATGCTCAGGGCATACATCCGTCTGATGCTAAGCTCAAAGCTATTCAGCAGGCTCCAAGCCCTAGGTCTAAGGGTGAATTACAAGCCTTTTTGGGTTTACTAAACTTTTATCATGCTTTTCTACCTCATAAAGCTGCTATTGCTGAACCTTTACACAGACTTTTAGACAAAAATGCCTGTTGGCGCTGGACCAAAGTCCATGAAGCCAGTTTCAATGAGGTTAAGGCCTTGCTTACATCCAATGCGGTGCTAGCTCATTTTAATGAGCAGTTGCCAGTGTGTCTGGCTTGTGATGCTTCCCCCTATGGGGTGGGCGCTGTGCTTAGCCATCTGACGGCTGAAGGGACTCAGGTCCCTGTGGCATATTATTCTAGGACATTGTCTTCTGCTGAGCGTAACTATGCTCAAATTGACAGGGAGGCTTTGGCTATTGTGGCTGGAATTAAAAAATTCCATGATTTCATCTATGGCCGCCATTTTACGGTCTTTACTGACCACAAGCCTTTGCTGGGGTTAGTCACTATGTCCAAACAAACCCCACACATCCTATCCCCTCGCATGCTGCGATGGTCCATTTTTTTGTCAGCTTATGACTATTCACTAGTTCACAAACCTGGCAGAGAAATGGGTCATGCTGATGGCTTAAGTAGGCTGCCTTTGCCTACTGTGGAGCCTGATCCTGCCCCTGCTGTGCACATATTGTCCATTCAGGAATTGCCAGAGTGTCCCCTTAATGCTAGGGATGTGGCTGCTGAAACTGCCACTAATCACACGCTTAAATGCGTGCTGACATGGGTGCTGGCAGATTGGCCTGACAGATGCCCAGAGGAGGACTTCCAACGTTTTTGGGTCAAGAGGCACGAGTTGTCCACTTTCAATGGCTGCCTCCTCTGGGGCTCTAGAGTCGTGATTCTGGCCTCATTGAGGGCGAGAATCTTAGTTTCCTTACATGAGGGCCACCCGGGGATTGTCAGGATGAAAGCGCTTGCGCGCAGCCATTTGTGGTGGCCTGGCATTGATAGGGCCATTGAGGCCCAGGTACATGGGTGTCATCCGTGTCAGCAGTCCAGGCCAGAGATGCCCCAGGCCCCTGTGCATAGGTGGGAGGAAACACACACTCCATGGTCTAGAATACATATAGATTACGCTGGGCCCTTTCAGGGGTAATTTTTCCTGATAGTTGTAGATAGCCATTCCAAATGGCTGGAGATTGTGCCTGTGTCATCCACCACGACTGCCAAGACCATTCAAGTGTTGAGAAATATTTTTGCTGCCCATGGTCTGCCAGACGTTTTGGTGTCAGATAATGGTCCTCAATTTACTTCTACTGAATTTCAGGGGTTTCTATA